ATTGAGATTTCTCATTTTCGACCATTTGGAAACATTTCCATCCAAAAAAACCATTTCCAAATTTCTATTCTATTCTTAGGAAGTAAACAAACAAGTTAAAAAAAATATCTTACCAAAACCCTACCAAGGAAATGTAAATTTGCTTAGTCTGCATGAATGCTGCAGTTGGGGCATATTTCAATATCAATGATTACAGTCACTTAAGGAGTTTGCTTCATGAAGAGGAAAAGTAACCCTCTGGGGTGATTTGGTATTTTCTTTGAGTTTATGTTATCCTACTTTGGAACAGGAAATTAAAAAATCTCCCCTCCGAGTTGCCATTAGATTGATGTATGAGAAGAGACTCTCTGTCGGAATTTGAACAGTTTGATCAAGATTATTACATGTTATATGTCTTTAAACGTATTTAAACCCTCAGTTGACCACAAGGGACTTGATCTAGTTAAATGTGCAAGTGTTTCGAAAATATCGCTTCTTAAATGCGGCAATTAAATTCTAAGATTCGGGTATAAGTTTAATACGAGGCGGATAAATGAAGCGTTCACAGCAATTGAGGCAAACAGTAATATAAATTTTAATCAGTTAAATAATAGTGAAATAACAATAATAACAATCATTAACTGTATGTATTTTGGTAAGGGTGGATAAAAATTAAGAAATATTATCTTATGAATTTAATTGACAAATTTAAATGTTTATATTGATTGCAAAGTTATGCAAAAATATCACCTTCAATATCTACAGGATTACTTGCATAAACACATGGGATAACTACAAGACTAACATATGTACATTAAAACGTTCTGTAGGCAGCTCAGATCACTTTAATGTCCCCAAAATGAATTGACTTTCCTACTCGGGTTACTAGCGGTTTTAACAGACCTACTTGATATTTTTTTTATCTTGTTCTACAACTCAAACACTTAACTATTTTACTATAAATCCCTTATAACTCGAAATCCCTTCAGAAATTCCCTTACGCCTACAAATTCCCCGGGAAAGGGCAAGGACTCACCAAGTGTCCTATGGTCTCCGTGCCTAGGCCGACTGCCTGTAGGCCTGGAGCGGACATGATCCACTAGTCACGCTTGTATACTCAAATAGATTGTAATTTATTCTTTTTTTAACTGTCCGACTTTAGTAAACGTCAATTTGTGAAGCATTAGAGCATACATGAGCCGTTTCAGAGACACGAGGAAGGAGAGTGTGTAGCAGGGATAGAGTGGAGTGGGTGTTCCCCAATCCCCAATCCCTACTCAACTCTCCCTCATTCTGACCCTCCGAGCCCTGTTAATCAGATTCTGAGCTCGTTGGTGACAGAATCAATACCATTCATTGAGTCACCTCTGATAACAGGTAGAGAAGATACAATAATTATTCTTATCTTTATGAATGGATGAAATTTATGAATGGATGAAATTTTCCGTTGCAGAAATTACGCCACTTAAAATCCGGAGGGGTGGTTCCTGAGACTACGTAAATAACGTTGCGGATATTCAGTTTTTATTTATTTTTTTATTATCAACGGTTCCACCATTTTTTACAATGTAAGTTAATAATAACAATCAAGACGGATAGATTTAAATAAATAACAAACAATAATATACAATCAACTATAATCTATTTACAATAAAGATTTTGCACTTTAATAACCCGTTGATGTTGTGTTCAAACTAACGACGAGTATGGATAGGAAGAGGAAAGCCCTCGAGGCTTTGATGCTCTATGATGATATTGATGATGATGTTGCTGATCTTTGTCTTTATTGGTGTCACCTCATAGTGATCGAAGTGATATATTAAAAATCGGGACAGTGAAAGAGTTTACAACATACTCATTCGTAAACATTTGGTAGACAATGAAACAATGTTTAAGCAGTACCTCCGTGTGTCAAAAGACCGTTTTATTGTTTATCTCATAAAAGATGACTTACCTCCAACCTACAAATCGAGATAAAAATTGAGTATGATAGTAATTTCACAGCGGCTCCTCTCCGCTGCCGGATTCCGGACTCCACTACTTCTCTCAGACCAGTATGATTTGTCCGCCGTGCGAAAACGAAAATTACGGTCCTGTAAACGTTCATCAGTGGAACCTGGCACGCAGAAAATAAGAATAAGAATAAGAATAAGAATATTTTTATTTCCAAAATTACAAATTACAAAAATTACAATCGTGGCTGTAAAGCAAAGTAAAAAGGAAAAAAAATCCCCACAAAGACTGTACATCTGCGTGTGGGGAGAGTCTTCTCCGTCGCTCACCACTTCACAGACAAGATAACAAAATAAACAAATAATTATTTAAATAAAAAGAAGTATTTTTTTTGCCATCTTGTTGAAAAAAAACTGAACATGAACAATATTAGAAGTACTTGAATGAGGGTGCCAGTACCGAAGTAGTTTGGTATTTAGCCTAATTTAGTTTTAGAATCGTCATCGAATTTCATTATGCCCTAATCTACGATATTAAACAAACCAAACACGATGATCGGTATAGAGCACGCAAATCTCAAAAAAGGTCGATGGGATGTGACCCTCCTGTCTAGGGAGTAAAAATGTGATTAAATATTAATAACTCGTACATCAGATTTCTCAATAAAATAAATACAGTTCAGCCCTGTAGTACCAAAAAAAAATACATTATGAAAAAAAAATTACATTAGTGGTAAAAAATATATTAGGATTTTAGCTATATTAGGATTAAAGCATGGTTTGGATTTTTATAACAGATAAATTTAAATTTGTTTCTAAAACATTTTGAGTTTCTGGTAGTTTAAGACGCTGCTACAGTACACAACCGCGGTACAACAGTATCACCATAGTTGAAGGAGCAACAAAAGTACACGAGTGCGTTCAGGTCGAACTCGCTTTAATAAAGACAAAAGGCTCGCAAAGAGACTTACTCGCAGGATCATATTAAGTGCCACCATGAACCTAATATGGTCTGCTTATATGTACACATTTGTCCAAAAATAAAAATTAAATATCTGAAAAGCATTGAAATCCATCGTCAACTTACGGTAACCAGGAATACGAACCGATGTTCACAAAATTGCCGTGATTATGAATTGTAAGTCCAGAAGTTGTTTTCCGAAAGGAATTTGCTAATTCTGCAGACTGCGTCTCATTTACTTAAGTAAATACACGTGGCTTTAATTATTATCATAAACAGAATTTGAAATAACATTGAACATAGGATTGTTTTTAGTCTGTCATTGTTGTGGTGTGGTATCACACCATTTCAATACGTTGACTCAAGTACAAAATAAACCCACAAGTATTTTGATGCTTCTCCATTATATAAGAAGAACAAAGGACTGGCTGCAGGCGGAATTAGTTTCCCTTATCTTCCCCCCAGACTTCTACCCTACACTAAATCAGCCAACTGTAATTAATTTTTAATTTGCCATTTTATCACTCAAGAAGTCTCTTTCATTTTCAAGAGAAGGGATATTAAGTTTATAATATGAATAAAACGTTGCCTAAATTATATTATTCAATTCTACTAACATTGTTGTTTTAAAGCACATAAATTTCAAGATTACATTTTCATCCAAATTTAGGCTATGTCAATGTGGGGATGGAATTCAAATCCGATTTTCATAAGATTTTTTAAGGTCAAATTAATGTTACATGGTTTACGGACGTATTGTGTATGCAAACAGACGAATCTGCGAAGAGAATGTTTCGCGTTCTTCAGACTTGTACCCGAATGTATACTGTACTGTATAATCCAAGGAACTATACTAGAAAACGATTGCTTGGACTGAAGTTATGTTTTGTCGTTGTGAAGTGTACTGAATGTATTACTGACCCTATATTTCCCTGATTTGTATTTTCTATTCCTTGCATCACTTGAGTGGAGATAACCGGTTTACAAGATAGAACATAAATAATCAGTAAGTAGAAAATCATAAGGTACATTTTAATAAATTAGTTTTCGATCAAACCACTCGTAATCAAAATCAATATTTTCTTCACTTGTCCGCTATATATGTCACGTGAACAGTAATATCAGTCATGTCAACTTAAAGTACAATATTTAAAACCACCCACAAAATAACAGACATTCTTAGTTTTTTTTTTAATTTTTTATTGTTCGTTTGCCTTTGTTCGCTATTGTGGCCGAGTCCTGTTTCCCATGGAACTGTAGTTTACTATCCACTTGAAGTATTGCTCTGCTTTTCTCCTAATTATTACTGTTTGCTTTGAATTACAAAAATATTAGTTATAATTAATTACTATTACCACTGTTTGCTTGTTAAGACTAACTTATCTGTGTCTAGAATTTAATGTATTGTATTGTAAAAATTGTGTTTCCCGTTGAAAATTAATAGACATAACGAAGCAGCAAAACACCCCATGCACAGCTGCACTCTATACAAGGTAATTCTATTATTTTAACAGAAAAATTACATGATTTTATCTACTTAATTCAGCAAACCATCTTTACTTATTACCAGTTAAAATTCACGTACAACCATCATGGAGTTACTCAATACTGCAGATATGAACCAAACTACTTAAAAATTTTACTTTGTACAAAAGCAAATTTTTAAAAAAAGCTTAAATGATTACAAAGCCAAAGGGCAAGTCGATATTTGGTTACTATTGTCTTATCCGTGCAATTGTCTTACCGAATATATTAGCAACGCACCGACCAATAATATCAGGTTTGTGAAATGACACTTGTAAAGCAGGGCTGTTACAATTACTCAACATTTTCCATACATGAATTATTACATGGGCAATCGGACACATATCAACAGAGCTATGACATAAGATAAAAATGTAATCAAAGAAAAGTTGAATGAATACCAAGAGATTTTCCTTTTGTTTTGATAAGTGTGTGTTGCGATAAATCAATTTGCTTTTTAAACGCAAAATTGGCCAAGAATAATCTCGAAACATATCATTGCTGATGCCCAATATTTTGATTTTGGGTGGGTGGGAGAAGGGAGGTTGTTGTGGGGTCAAAGTCTTGCGCGCAGACGTTGCAAACCCAGGATAGCTGCTGGGAACAGTGTACATCTTAAACCGATTCAGGGAGGACCGCAAGGATCATAGTGTAGTGCTACGAACTACCAGAGCTAGAGAAGGAATACCACTTAAATGTAAGACATTTACCTGCTATAATGCTAGAGGATACATCTAAGAATATAGTTTTTCCCATTTAGAGATAATCGATTTCTGCTTTGGCAACCCTGTAGAGACCCTTTATCGATTAGAAGCTGTATTACTTTGGCTCTAAGTTTGAATTTAGTTCAGAGACAAAGAAAATGTTGAAAATTATATTTTATTTTATTATTTGAAAGAGTAGTCTACAACATAGAAGGGGTGATAGATTAAATTATTCTGTCGTATCATTACTTTGGTATTAAATATTACCGTTCGATGAAAGATAAAATGATGAGTAGTAATGCCATTTCCATCCGTTGTTTGAATTTACTACTTTTGATTTTACTCGTTTGTGTGTGAAAGTATAGATGTTTTTGAATTTGCCCTATGATCAATTACATGAAAACTATAAGATCAATTGAGCTGAAATTTGTGTATGGGTATAGCCAATATACCATTGATGGACCTATTTTAATTTTTAAACCGTTCTTGGGCTCCGTCTGAATGGCTTTTAGATTTTCCCGTTACTCTTATGAATACAAAAAAAAAATAGAGTTAACACATAAGCATAAACCAGCTGTTTTAAATTTATATGCCATGTTTTGTTTTTTTTCACTAAGGAAACTGATATGCTATAACAAGAAAGTAATGTTTTATTAATGAAAGGTTTTAAAGGTTTTGTAAAATTTTGCTTATTGTTTGCTGAGGAATTTGAAATATGAGCTGCAGGCAAAAAGGCTTGACTAAAATCAACGAATTTAAGTAAAGATATCTATTTAAATGTGTAATAAATATCAACAGAAAGTAAATAAAAATACGTCCCTTGAAATATAAATTTACACTTAAACTGTTGACTAACAAGACATAGAAGAAATGATCTCATACATAGAAAAGATGGTAGGCGATCAATTTCGATTTGACACTCCAATCACCAACAGAAGAATAGGCAATTATGAATAGGCGAATTATTAAAACATTATAGGAAAACGTATTGTTTGTTTTCTCGTGAGTGTGAAATTTAATGACAAAAGTAGTTATATATTTGTGGGTAACACATTAGTTAAAAATGCGTTTTGGTGCATGTAACTGTGCTATATTTAAGTGAACAAATAATTACTATAACCAACCTCGTAACAATCATTTGTAAAATAAACACACCGTTCAACACTGTACAACACCGTACAACACCACAAATTTTGTACTAAACGTCAGAGAGTATGTATGAGAGAACATCAAAGTTGGTACATGTTAGGAAAATGGGGCAAAATACAATATCTAAGGCTATTACTCTATCTACACCATTACAGATGTGTGGACAATTGTTGCATAGACCACTGAATCTGTAGTGAAGCTATGAGATCTCCAGTTACAGCAAAAGGAACTCATAATCCCTAATTCACAGAAAGAGTAGAGTTGTTTATATAAGAGAAGAGTTGTTTATATATATTTATACAGGGTGAGGCAATGAAAACGCTATTTGTAAATAGAACAAAATCAATACTAATAACCGTGCGCATGTATGGCTTATCAAAACAAAGCTTATCTTATACAGTGTTTTACTTCATACAGTATTTTATTATTAATATTACTCTTGTGTAACATTCTTTAGGTGACGTCTTTAACCTACTTGACATTCCTTAAGTCGCTTGGAAGATCCATCGAATACATTTTCCAGCTTTGTATAGAAATAAATCTCATCGTCTAAGTGATTTTTGTTTCAAGCTAAATCTCTGGCGACTTTGAAAACTGTTGAAACATCTCAAAAGAAGAAACCACAGACATGCATGTCTGGTAATCGATCTTATTAGGGAATGCTTACTAGGAAATGTCTCTGAATATTGAGATCACACTACCTTCAAAAACATTTCTAAATGCATACATCCATCATTAGCTGTGGCTTAGAGCTCTTTTGGAGCTCACTCTTTTGATTTCCAACAACTCAAAATGGAATTTAAAAGCAAGCCAAGAAATCTTCATATCAAACTAAATTCAAGGTTACTGTTTGGTTTACATTTACCTTTACTATTGGACAAGGTAGGGTCAGGGTTTTGCATACCGCACTTAAGGTTGTCTAGGGTTGCTTGGGTTGAAGCTGTATTTCTGGAATATATTCCCATTTTCCCATCGTTTAGGCCTACCAATTTGGAAAAAGGGACCTACCTACGTTGGTATGTTTTCTGAACTTATACACAATTTTTTATGGTTTTCAACCAAATCAATCTTCTTGAAAAAGGTTTCTACAGCAATAGCAAAGTGTTAATGACTCCACCATTTTATCTTAAATGACATAGTTTGGTTGAGTTTATTCAGTTCATTACACAGCTGTTCATTCTTTGTTGTAATATTTATCTTGAAAACAAAAAAAATTTGGTGCCGTCAATGCCTCAGCCTGTATTAAAGGAAAAACCAACTTAAGTTAACACATTTTTGTTTAATATACCACGTATCTTTATTACTCTCCAATTATTGCATTTTAATCACACAAAAGTTAATACTTTACAATTCGAATTCATATCGGATAATCAAAATTACTTCTATGAGGTTCGAGTAAGCTGTATCAGCGGAATACGCGACGAATGAGTTGGACGATGAATTAATATTGCAATGCTTCTCTCTAATCGAAGTGCAATGAGGGATTGTCTAAAATGGTAGGGGTAAGCTATTGATAATTGCAAATCCTAAACATAGAACTCATTAGCATGATGCTTATGCTCAACTATAATTAAAGTAAACAATAGAATTTTTGTTTGATCTAATTTGTCTACAAGCCAAGTAACGTTTGTGATCGTTGTTGTTGATGAACTGAAATTAAATATTCAAAACTTTAACCATGACAAGCTTCACTCCGAGTATATTTAAACAAGCTAAATAATATTCCAAGTACTATGACTATCACTGCAAGATGTCAGAATTCTTTGTTTTCTCTCTACATTGTAAAAGCTTAAATAACAGTTTAATTTTGTTTACACCGATTATTGAGATCTGTCATTCATACTGATAAGTTACAAAAACATTTAATCTTAGATAAATACTTTTTTATACGGATATAAAGGAATATACCATCGTCACCATGGTAAAGTGTCAGTCAATTTAAACATCTTTGGATCCATACAACTCCTTTTCATGAATGATTATTGTACGGGACAAAATTCTACTCCAATTAAATTCTCGATTATAGTACCTTGACCGTAAACCCCTGTAGTGATATATACAGCTGAAATTAAAAACTCATTTAACCTTTAAATGATACAGCACACACCATATGTTTGTTGTTTTTGTATAGTCATGATGTATATTTGGCATTTAAATTTAGTACACACCTATTTGAGAATGGTTATAAAATAATAAAAATGATGATATCAAAGTTGTAGAAAGAATATATAATCAGTAAGAATTAACACCGAAAGTGAGTTGGACAAGCGGGAATTTCGGGAATTTCCACAATTCATAAAGGATTGATGAAATTAATTATCCACTAGCTTACTATGGGTATGACAAGTATTGGTCTTAACGATGGTAATCTAGCAGATCAGTCTAAATATAATAGAAATCCTACGAAGTATGTGACTAGCAGCTTTTAGGGGTCATGCACCAGTAAAGAACTAAAATGTAAAACCATTTGAAAAATGTTTGAATCAAACAAACTTCGGCAATAATAAATAAATCTGTATCAAATAATTTTCATAAAAGTGGATTACAAGATAGGATTTTAACTGTATAATGGAAAGTAGTTCCAACGATATACCACACTCCGAATTGTTGTATATCGTTGAGTAGTTCTGGATCACCGTCTTAGAAAATAGATATATGCCGAATCTTTGCTATGTTGAATTGACGACACCTGCGATTTCGATGTTTTCTCCAACACGACCAACGCTTTAAAACTAAAATAGTTTGAATACAAAAATCAGTAATCGGTATCAGTGGTTTGTTGATGTATTAATTTTTATTATTCTTATTGCAATTCTAGTCATTTATAAACTATTTTATGTTATTATCAAGTGAATGGCATGAAACTTTGAGTATGTAGCTGGTGAAAAGAACAAGGAACCCACTCAAGTAAAATTTAAAGTGCATGAACTGCTTCAATGCTTCAATAGCACTGTATCGAAGGGTATCAATAAAAAAATAGCTTATTTCCTACATGGGAAATACGCTATAATTACTGTATTGTTCTAAGTTAAGGTTTTATTGTAAATAAATTATGTCTTTGATAATGTACTTTCCTCTCCCTCGCTCAGCCATTCAATATTAGTTAGTGTTGGTTTGTATTGGTAGATAAATAAATAAAATTGCTATCAAGTCCACACCCGTACTTGTTAGGTTATATTAGGTTAGGATAGGATACTTGTTAGCACAGACAAATAGGTGCATAGTGAACATGATACTTTTGCTTGGTAGAGTTTATGTAATATCAGAAAATATAACGAGTATTATTTATTTATCCTGCCCTCCATCACTTTCTCTAAATAATTAGCTTTTTTTGTAAATTAAATACGTAAAACAAAAATGTAAAATATTTACTCTACTCATGTTTATTTGTTGTTTTGCATTGAGTATATATACTGTAGTCACTTGTTACTAATACATTTCAATCATTGTTTCCACCGTTTGTTTTGAAGAAATGCATTTCATAACTTGGTATAAATACCTGAATCTATGTGATCTCTGATGTAGTGGCATGGCCCTGGAGTCATCTTCAGGCAGTACATATGTCATCTTGTCTCTATCAGGTCATCTACATTATTAATTAATACACCATGCGCACGCACACGAACATTTAGTGACAAAAACGAGAAGATACTTACAGTATTATCGTCGTTAAACGTTAGTATTTTTTGTCTATGAGCAGTTGCGCATGTTGACGACTTTCTTATAAAGAGACAATATGACTCTGTGTTATGACACAACAACATAGATCACATAAATTCAGGTATTTACACCTGATCAAGAGGATAAACCCTAATGATGAAATTAAATTAATTTTGTAAAAGAAACATTAAAGTATTAAATCATACATATAAATGAACAGCCGTAGCTTAAAGCCAGATGCAATTCAAGAAATATATACAAATCCAAGAATAATATAAATCATTTAACCACGATCACATGTTTTCACGTATAGAATATAGAGTATTCTACCGTAAAAGCTCTATAGAGTTACCATGCATTTATATGGGAGTGTTTTAATATTTGAAGTAGAACAAACAAAAACCTCCCCTTGCGAAGGGACGCCAGGGTGATTCTACTTTGATTGGACTTTGATTTCTTGGTTTCTTGCCTCAATCCTCTGAGGAACCCCAGTTGTTGGTCTTTCCCAGGATTCCACATTTGAGGAAATGTATTCCTTTTAATAAGTGTTTCCCACGAAGACTCGGAGACATTATGTTTTATTGAGAATTATCGCTTTGTCTGTACATAATAAGCACATTTTTGAAGAAAAACTAAAATATTTTGTCTAACGTATCCAAAATTATGAAAAAGGTCAGCTAACATATGATATAAATTAAAATAACTACCTACTATTACATCACTCAGTTTTATGTACAGTAACTTAAACATTAGGTATGTATCACATACAATATGCTATGATATTTATCAAATAACAGATTAGAACCCGTCATGAGCGAGTTACACACACGGTAAATATATGCTATCAAATATGACATTGCGTAACACCAGGAGAGCCTATACAATATCACAGGAATATTTAAATTAATTACAATGTCTTCTATAGGTAATTAATTTATTCAGTTCATAAGCCAATCTATATAAAGTACGTATTAAAACATTTGTATAAATAGGAGATAATGTTTTGCTTATAAATTGTATTAAAAAATGCATTGGTTGTATGCAATTCATTTTCACAGTTTGTTATTATCTCTTATCAAAATGCATGTGTTTTGGAAGCCTTTAGCAGCAGCCTGTGCACAATGAGGAACGCAGCTTTAGTCCTACGTTTGTAATGTGTTCCGTGCACGTGGAAACTGGTATTTGGTTAGGTTTAATAATAGTCCAGGCAAATTAGATCAAATATAGGGTGTGCTCCCCAAAAAATCGTCTAAAGCTGGAAAGTGTTTTAATACCTTTTGGGGGTCCCAAATAAGACTCCTGTGAGTTTGCGACGGATTCTGACGTCTGCTTAAGTTTTGGGAGTCGAAAAACTATGAAAATTTAGCACTTTTTTCAGTTTTTCGCTTATAACTCCTAAATAACGAATCCTAAGGAAAATGTTGTTCAAAGATGTCTTTTAGTGCATTTAATTTTGCGTCGATTGGTGTTAAATACGTCAAAATCGGCCGAGCCGTTTAGCCGCTGTAGCTTTTCAAAGTTGGGATATTTTCATCAACATGGCCAAAAGGTTGATTATTTGACCAGTTTTCGGCTTACAACTCCTAAACGACGCATGCTATACAAACATGCACATGTAGTTAGTTTGGAAAACACAAAATTCTGCGTATAATGTTTTTTTTATTAACCAATAACAGCAATTGATTGTTACCTACTTTGTATGGTCGCCATTTCATTGAAAAAGTATTAAAGTTGAAGTTGAGAAATTTTACTAAAATTGGTAACAACACGTAGATCCTCTCAATAGCGGTTAAACGGTGAAGCCGATCGTAATGAATTAGAAAACATTCTACGCAGACGTTTATGCTCTTCAAACTAACTACAGGTACATTTTTTTCTATAGCATGCGTTAGAAGATGTAAGCCAAAAACTGAAAGATGAATACAGGGATATATCGTATATAATGGGAGGTTGGGATGAATCCTAGAATTTTCGGAACCTCAGACAACAATATTAGACTTAAAATTACATAGGGGGTCTTACTCTCTTCACACCTTATTAGATAAACCTCTGGATGACCATCATTAATTCATCATCCATTTAAGGACAGGATCTACGTGTTGTTACCAATTTTAGTAAAATTTCCCAACTTCAACTTTAATACTTTTTTTCAATGAAATGGCGACCATACAAAGTAGGTAACAATCAATTGCCGTTATTGATTAATAAAAAAAACATTATACGCAGAATTTTGTGTTTTCCAAACTAATTACAGGTGCATTTTTGTATAGCATGCGTCGTTTAGGAGTTGTAAGCCGAAAACTGGTCAAATAATCAACCTTTTGGCCATGTTGATGAAAATACCCCAACTTTGAAAAGCTACAGCGGCTAAACGACTCGGCCGATTTCGACGTATTTAACACCAATCGACGCGAAATTAAATGCACTAAAAGACACCTTTGAACAACATTTTCCTTAGGATTCGTTATTTAGGAGTTATAAGCGAAAAACTGAAAAAAGTGCTAAATTTTCATAGTTTTTCGACTCCCAAAACTTAAGCAGAAGTCAGAATCCGTCGCAAACTCACAGGAGTCTTATTTGGGACCCCCAAAAGGTATTAAAACACTTTCCAGCTTTAGACGATTTTTTGGGGAGCATATGTCTAATTTGCCTGGGCTATAAGGATTCAGTCGGCGAAAGACTAACATTGGGAGCTAAAATTGGCTGATCTTGACCAAACCCTTATCTATATTGGCACACAACACAAAACAATTCTATTGTGATACAATCCAGTAAATCCAGTAAAGGGTTGAAATTGTAAGGGGGGGTAAGTTACTTTTCAGCCACCCTACATACTAAATTAAACTAAAAACGCTAATTAGAATTTAAAAACACCAATATAATGATAAACTGTAATTAATGAAATGTTTAGATTTATCAAATGGCTAATTTTGTAATTTTTTTGAAATACCAAGTCTACCTGTAATTATAGGAGTGAGATAAATGGTTTCGAAATTAACATGTTACAAAATTGCCACGTGGAAGGAAACAGAGATAAACTTTAAAAACTCAAAAAATGTGAACAAAGAAATGTTATAGATGCTTGGTGAGAAGTAAAAAGTTTTAATCATTTTGAAAATACAACACTAATACCCAAATACAACTCCTAGAACATACAACTCCAAAAAAATAGAAAACACAACTAGAAAAAGTAGAAATACAACTCCCCACGAATTGCATCCTGACCTTTCATTTGCCCCAAAACCAAAAGTACCATTGTTGAAATTGATGTGTGTTGATATTGTTTTCTCTTAAAGGATTATTGTTGGATTTGCTGTGTAAGTTTTCATGTCGTGCTATTGCAATAATATACTTAAGTATTTTTTTACTATACATTTTGTCATGGTTCAACTGCTTGTGCTATTATAATTGGTCTAAGTTGAGTATGAGAGCCTGTGTTATGTCTTTGTAAAAATAGTGTAACGATTGAGCTATTAAATAAATAAAACCTGAGCTTACATCCTTGATACACCTTCAAAAATCGATACTAATACCTTATCATATACTGTCCATGGAATTGGAGTATTGGTAAACGTACCCCTCTCAGTGCAATTGTATATGAGGCGATTTTTAAAACAACATTTTAATGGTGAAAGTAATCTAAGAACATCGGTTGTTGGTAATAATATTAATAAAGTTGACCAGTTGTAGTTCTTTTGTTGTCATTATTTGTTGATAATAATCAGGTGAAACCTGAAACCTCAATCGGATAAATTTTTCTCGAATGTATTGTCGATGATTTTCTTGTTGACATAACCAAGTCAGCCTACGTAAAACCAACATCAAAATTAGGAAATCTAGAACAAATCCAGTTGCATGAAAAAAGTCTAAATACTATATTACGAATTAGTTTTTGTAATGGAATTCGTATGAAAAATTATGTCATATGGTTGGATTACAAGCTAACCTTTATTAAAAGTAGAAAATACAGTATCTTTTTTTAAACTTCAGTATAAATTATTCTTACACGACTTTAAATCATAACCTGTAACCTCGTGTATTTACTTTAAAAGTGTCTATGTAATTTGTTTATAATGATTTCTTTTGTTTCAGACGGGCATTGGAAGTCAAGATGAACAAGTTCATGGGTGGTGCAGCCATTTGTGAACCCAACGATTTCGGGTAAACCCCAGGATGGGAAACCCTTAGGATTCCAATGGAACCACTGAAGCGATGCGTTCTCCTGGCAATCGCTCTACTGCTGGTGGCGGTCCTAGCCGAGGAGTCAGGATGCTGGAGGGGAGGTGCAGAATGTAAGGTGGTCAGAGAAGACGAACTGTTAGTGGTGGAGTGTGGGGCACTGAACTTGGATCAAGATACGAATGAAACTGTCGAGACTTCTTCCAAGAATGGATCTTTCAACTGTACTATCAATGATACTTGGTGTCACATGTCCAACACGACTGTGATGAATTCAGATCTTCACAAAGTGGATTCTAGAGTAACCGAATGGCAAATCAAACCAAATCTTGTAGATTCTTATCCCAGAAGTACAAATCGCTTTGAAAAAGAATTATTATCGCGTACTGAAGTAAATCTCCTGGGTGACGTATCGGTTATGGATTTTTCTTACATTTCCAGTGTAAAAACTGTTACATTGAACACCAATGGTTTTAACATCCGCATGGTATGTGGCGCTACGAATGTTTCAGTTTTGACTGTTACGTCTTCTTCAATCATTCACAATTTTGTCAAATGTTTTACTAGTCTAAAATCTCTAAACCTGTCTCACAACATGCTCGAATCTTTTACCGTTAGTGAATTTCCTCCGACCATCTATTCAGTTGACTTGTCTTTCAACAAAATTACGTTGACGAAAACAGTTACTTTTCCACACACCCTTCGTCTGTTTAACATTTCTTACAATAATATAACTAACGATAAGGAATTCATTCTAAAAGGAAATGTGATAGTTTTAGATATTAGGGAAAACAAACTGTCCCATGTTCCTATTATTGAAATGGATGCGTTAGAAGAACTTTACCTTTCGCACAATCAAATAAAGAATCTGAAAGAAAAACATTTCGCTAGCTTATTAAATCTAACAATTTTGGACTTAAGAGCTAACTGCCTGAATAACTTAGAGGAAAAGGTTTTTCAAGGTCTAAATCGACTCCAGTGGCTGGATTTGTCAGAAAACAATCTAATGTCATTGGCACCAGCGACGTTTCAATATTTGAGTAATCTAGTTACTCTGCTTCTCTCCAAAAACGTGAATCTAGGAAATCTTCAAAATATTGAAGACGCGTCTTTAATTTTTGGGACTGGGCAACGTCTCCAGGAAATAGAAGCGTCAGGTACAAACCTATCTAGGATACCCTCTACAGTCACACGGTCAGTGAGGAAGCTTCGTCTCACAGACAACACCATTTGCACGATACAGTGTGGAGAGGTAGATAGTTTCCCGTTACTACAAATCATAGATGTCTCCAACAATATGATCAGTGATATCGAAGAAGACGCTCTTGGCAGGCTTGAATTCCTTTCAGAACTTCTTCTCTCCAGGAATAAACTTAGCAACATTCCAAAAAGCTTACCTGGTCAACTAAAAGTGCTTGATATACGATGTAATTATATAAATAAACTTAGCAGCATCGACTTTTTAGGTCTTCAAAAACTTCGTGTGTTGTTGCTGTCAATGAATAACATTTCAGTCATTGAAGATGGGGCGTTTGGACAATTAATCAGTCTAGACGTTTTAGACCTCTCTTACAACCCAATAAAAACATTGTACAGATCATCTTTTACTGGCCCAAGAGGGTTGAAAGAGCTTTATTTGGTGTCATTGACAGAAATAATTCCACTCAAAGAGCCTCTATCATTTCCGGCTCCCGAATCGTCTAATCTAGAAATCTTAAACTTGGACTTTAGTTCAGAGCTTGCGACACGACTCATGGATGACGTTGCTGCCTTGACAATGTTCCACGAACTCTACGAACTGAGCTTACGAGATTGTAGGCTTCAGACACTTCGGAATGATCTTATAAGCTATCTTCCAAGATTGCATAAGTTCGATATTTCAAACAATCCCCTGAACTGTACTGATATCATGTGGTTAATTAAGTGGATGCATTCCAGAAACGCCAACCAGGAAACCTTTGGCCCAAAACATGGTGATATTCGTTACGTAAGCTGTAGAGATGTTCCTAAACATAGAACAATTTTACAAGATAATGTAAAATGTGCATATCCTCCAGAGCTAGCTGGTAGAACAATTTTATCTTTGAAGGAAGAACTTCTGAACTTTGCAACACCCAAACATTCTACCTCTAGAGAACTTATATCCGAGACAAAATCAACAACAGAAACTACTCAAACTGTTCCAGTAGTAACGATTAACCCTATCGTAAATCGTGATGTAATCATCCCCCCCAAGTTGACAAGAAACTTAACTTCTAGTTTGGATGGTCAGGTTACATCCAACCCCACGAAACTCACGGATGTAAATAACAATACGGAGATTCTAAGCCTGTCTATGTCTAACAGCACGCATTTCAAACAGAAAGATACAAACTCTCAAAATGCAATGAATAAATTGAAGAATACATGGAAATACTCCAAACTCCAAAAGTATCCGTCAGGAACTGGACCCTCCCTGGTGCTCCTCAACAGTTCTAAACACATCGTGATCGACAATCAAGTAAACGATTCTCTGATCAGTCAAAGAGCGTTCTTAGCCCACGAACCTCCGACGTCACATCCGGGGATGATGGTATTTCTCGTGGTGGTAGGTGTGATCATCATCGCATCTTCTACCATGCTGTACTCTCATTGGAGGCAACTCCAGAGGTCTTCCCAGTACCAGCACCACCAGGACATTGAGGTTTCTAGCTTCGGAGGTCACGAGTTATGGTGACCTTTGCTTACAGAGGGCGTCGAGAGTTTCAGGTGATTTGGAGAGAAAACCCCAATGGACTAAGGAACGTAGTTACACTTATATAAAGTTACGAAAAAACTGTTAATCGCCAGTATTGAACAAAAAATGTCATTGCATACCTGAAATATGTTTTTCAGATCGTACTTTGCCTTTAGTTTGTCGAACTGATGTACTTATATGGTTAACTAAAATATAAATCATAAGTACAATCCTGCAACTTTTGCAACATTAAAACCCTCAATTAAAACTAAAATACGAGTAATTAGATTCAAAAACAAAGTTAAGATCAGTATTTACATAGTAAATACAAACAAGAGAATGAAGTGTTACTGTACGACTATACATTCAATAAATCAATAATCAATTTAAGATATTATTTACAAGCCAATGAATATTAAATAGCAGTGAATACCATTAAGATATAACGATTACGTTTTAGAAATGTCAATAAATGCAGCACAGTATTAAATAATTTGAATTCTAACAGTTCATAACAATTGATTGTTAAAAATGATAAAGGGTCAATGAAAAGACAAAAAAACTGACTCCATCTAAAGTAAAATGTCGTATTATCCCCAGATATTATAACAAAATAATGTCTTCCTATTTTCAATTTTTTTACCTCAAGATAATTCTGGAAAACAACCCTAATCCATCGCTTTGAATGTCGGTAGTTTAGAATTGAAAATCAGTCTTCTTTGTTTTTTAGAATGAAGATAACATATGGTATGTAAAATTTTAATTGTAGGTTTATAATCCATAAATATATTTTTTCAAATTTGTATTAAGGTACGGTAGTTTTCCTAAGGTTCATAACATAAATGAAAAGGTTAAATAGATGACACAAAATGCACTTTAGAGATAGGTTTTGTATAATTGTTATTTATTTTATTGAAAAAAGTTATAAGCATAGACAAATATTTTATAATATATTTCGTTTGTGTTTATTTATTCATTAGTATGTGCCAACTTGTTGAACAAACAAAGTAAATTTATTTATGGGTTGCAATGATTCACAGTGAATGCGACTTAACTGATGATTCAGATGCGTTTGGTAAAAATAATTTGTATTTCATGATTTTGTGTTGTACTTTTTTTACAAAAAATACACATACATGAGGTTGTAAAAACATAGTTTTATGCTGTGAGACTAGATTAAGATTTTCTATTGCCAAAATAGTTCTGTATATATTCCAGGATTTGTGATCGTAAAACAGATAAAGCATTTATTTAAATTAAATGTGTTAATTTATTTTACGCTATCTGCTTTTATCATGATAATTTAGAGTAAGTATTTAATTATGTAGTTGGTTATTTAAACTAATGCTTCATGCTTACATATATGTTAGTGGTTTCAACAACCAACTATGAATTCACAAACCGTATACAAACTACAGATTTAAAAACCAGTAGAGAGTACGGTAACTCGCTCCCCATATACGTTGTTTCTGGTCTGTCATACAATGTAAAGGTGAATACAAATTATAGTTTCTGATCAACTAAAGCTTCCACTGTCACACTTGTCTCTGGGGTAAAATTTTGTGATCATCACTGATTACGTACAACTCATATACAACATACAACATATTGTTTTTCCGAAGACCACGAGTTTGGACGTTCTTTCTAAATTTTGAAGTGTTTGTTTTGATTACCTCTTTCTTTTGAAAACTTGATCTTTGTGTTTTTGAGTATCAATTCAACTGCTTTGTTTAAAAAAGTTTATTAAAATTGAAGTTAGTTTACATTTTGTAGAAAAGCTTATTGTTTGTGTGTGTGACCTAATAGGAACTTCTCTCTTCAATAAAACTTTGTTTTATACAGGGTTAGAAGTAAACAACTTATTCATAATTTTTATACTTAAGCAATATACATAGTTACATATTGTATGAATGGAATCAAATACATTTACTCAAAACAATATCCATTGTTTAAATAATTTCGGTTTGTAAATATTAAACAAAGTGTTATAAAACGTATTTGAATCCAACTGCATAGTATATTTTCAAAGGTCAATCACGTAAAGACAACCTAAGTAAAAAATAAGTTTCAAAATGCATTGTATGCTATATTTACATGCTTATAAACTTTCGAATGATGAATAACTTGAAAAATGTTGACGCAGGACACTAGTTTGGTAGCTATGTGGCTGTACCTGTTATTGTTGAACAAGTGTTGTGCAATAACCTGTAATTGAACGATGCTTTAGAATATCAATTGGCAAAAAAGATTTAAACAAAATGTATTTGAATGAGGAGACTACCCAGTAGGATGATATCCGCTTGGTCCGAATGACATAATAGGGTAATTACTCTCATTCGAACAGATAAAATACATCGTCGGCAAACAAAAAAGTGTAATTTGAAGGAACACAAGCAGGTGTAATTTGTTAAAGGATGTTTTTTATGTACTAACACTTATAACATGGTCCAAAATTATTGAAAATTGTAAATTTAAAATTCCCATGTTATTCTTATGGAGAATAAGTAAACTGCTGTCGTTTGCTTGTTTATGAGCATATTTTGATCACATTTGGAAAATGCATTTATTTTATACTTAACTATTAACATTTTACAAAAAACACTTGTTTACCCTCTCTGATGCGGCAAACCAATACTCGTTAAACTAATGCTATTTAAATAGGGAATAAATGTGATGTTTTTTAGGAGACATTTTATTTTAAAATCCAATTAGGCAAATGGAAATTTGCTTAGTATTCAGGTTTGCTGCAGCGAGGGTATTTATCTTCTTTACTAGCCTTGGATTGGAAAAGATATTTTCTCAATTGTTTTAACGTTACATTAATTTATTTTTCAAATGACTATACCATAAGTGAGGCTTATAAAGTATCTCATATTTCCCTTAAGTCGCCTCGATTATGGACGCCACGTTTACTTTGGCTGTTAGTGGAATGAGGTCGGCGAAGTTACCTCCTATTCTTTAGTTGTTTAACCCAAATGGAATTAGATATTTATTCCATTTTACTGTCCTGCGAGTTTAGCCACATCGAATTCTACGCTTTCTTATTGGGAATTTCTTGTTGGGAATTTATGTTGTTTTCTCAAATTTACTTATTCTGTTTCCTCGAGTTAGAAATATAATTTTCAGACAAATGTTAGAATAAATAATATACTATAATCGGACGTGGAAATTATTTTGTTTATATTTGTAAGGTTTTTTGGTATCTTGTAGATTGGGACCAAGTTACATATATCTATCAATTAAATCAAATTAATAAGGACCCTTTTCGGAACCTGTGTTGGAACTTTAAGGTAGTACAAAAAATTTGTTTCTCTTAGAGGATAAATGAAAATGAAAATGAAATGAAAAAATCCTTTATTTTTTCAGGCAAAGTTAGGGCCGCATGGCCCTTTCTTACACTTAACCTGACATTAAAAATATAACATAAATAATATGACATAGGGATGACTTAATCTAATTAAACATAAAATATTTAACAATTCAAGTACCTACATATCTAAAAAAAAAAAAAAAAAAAAAAAACAACATAAAAATTTAACAAATAGAAAAACACATTCACACACTCTCGCATACACGCATCAGCAAACGCGCAAGGTAACAGTAGCCCTAGGACACGCCAGCCGAGACCATCTTCTCAAAATAGAGCTTTTTCAGTGCCGCCACAAACTGGGAACGTTTTTCAAGGGTCTTAATGTGTAGGGGTAGGCCGTTCCACAGACGACAAGCGGTAACAACAAAAGCCCTGCCATAAGCTGTGGTCACATGATGAGGTATACGCAATGTGATCGAAGAATATCGAGACATTCGTGAACTACCCTGAGACACAAATTTAAAATCGGATTTGAAATATTTTGGGGAGCCTGTTTTCAAAATTGAAAAAACCAATGACAAAATTTTAATGAATCTTTGATCATTTAATTTCAGGATGTGTGCCTCAAGGTAGTATGGCGTGATATGCTCCATACGTCGCAGACCATAGACAAATCTCAAACAATAATTCTGTGACCGCTGGAGCATACCCGCCTGAGTCGCAGTCAAGTCATTGATCAATGAGTTGCAGTAACTGAAGTGGGGTAGTACAAGTGATTTGATCAAATGTAGTTTAGTGTGTTGTGGTAAAAAATTCTGTAATCTTTTCAATGAATGTATGGAGGCAAAAACCTTTTTTCGTGTGTCCGTAACTGCTATGTCCCAAGTAAGTGAAGAGTTGAAAGATATACCAAGATTCTTGACATTGTCGTAGTATGGAAGTGCTTTGCCATTAACTGTGATTGGGTTTATGGAGTCTAATCAATTGAAGGTCGAAGTCGAGAATGGCTAATGACTCTCGGTTTCGTCTTTTCGTGATTTAGTCTCAGTCCATGATTCTCAGTCCAAGTAACAAGTCGGTTGACATCTTCATTGATCCTTCTGACACAGTCGTTTTCGTTGTTTGCAGTAAAATGGTCATAGATTTGTCGTCAGCGTACATGTGGTGTTTACAGTTGACCAAGGTCAAGTTTAAGTCATTGACGTACAGTACGAAGAGCAGAGGCCCAAGGATTGACCCTTGAGGCACACCGCATGTAACAGTCACCCAGTCTGATCTCGTGTCACCAATCTCCACACATTGCTGCCTATCTGACAGATAAGATCTCAGCCATTTAAGAGAATTATGGGAAAACCCTATGGCCCGTAATTTCTGAACCAGCAGGTCATGATTAACACAGTCAAATGCTTTAGAAAAATCAAATAGAGTTAGAATCGTTCCTTGTCGAGGATACAGGAGTTTTAGTAATATATAGTTAGATTATATGCATCATGAAAACCCTTTAATCCGATGTTTAAACTTTTAATAATGAGAAAACGTAAAACGAAAGTGTGGAGATTTCTTACTGACTATTTCAAAACATTATTTAGCCTATAATTAGGCCTACGCAAAAGGTGTGGGGTAAAAATTTGAAATAAATGAACACATCAACAATACAGTATATGAATAGTTATTGAAAGTTATTCGATTTTAGAAAGGATAATTATGTGTAAACTAATTTGAAAAAAAAACTTGGTCCACAATGGTCCTAGATTGTATTGTATTGTATGCGGGGGTGGTCTCAGGGTCCCGGCACGTCAACCGAAACTTATTGTGCATGTCCCAATTTGCCACTAACTGGGTAAGCCTATCCCAGAGACCTTGACCAGGTCCAGGAGCTTTTGTCCAATGTTAGCGTCTGATTCATCACCTACAGGGCCCTTCTCCTAGCCCAAAGTCTGTCACAATCCAGAATGATGTGCTTTGTAGTCTCATTGCAAAGTTGGTTGCATAATTGACACTCCCGGTTGTCATTGGTGATTCCCAGGGTGTGAAGGTGTATGCGGTGCTGCGGTAGAAGGCTATATCAAGAGTAAGACTGTTTCCGGTTTCATATTCCCTTATAACTCTGTCCTACGAGGGATTTCGTTCTCAAAATTTTGAAGTGAGGTTTTAAAAAGTAAATGTTGATAAGCTTCAATGACAAAAATACGTTAAAAGTAAATTATTGGTTTTAAGCCAAGAACAGTTTGAAATTAAGTTTTTAGGTGTGATTCCAGAACAAATAAGAAAACTATTTATAAATTCGTCAAAACTGTAAGGAAGCAGGATCTGTTGAAAAAAAAAAAAAACTAAAACCTATAATACATAAGGTAAACGCACCAGTAGCTGACAGTATAAGAAACTATACGCACTAATCCGTGGTTTTGAATAAATAGGAACTAAAGAGATATTACGGATTTTATGTGATTCTAAATTTAGTGTAGTTTTTAAATTTGTCATACAAAAAGGGTTTTTTAAATATATTTTATAACATTTTTAAACTTAATTCAACCTTTGTACGTGTTCCAGTGGCTGACAGTGAAAAAAGTGCTTGTACCAGTAGCTGACTGTCAGTTGTCCTAGTAGCTGACACAGGAACTATAAATGTACTAGCTGCCAAAACCTAAGGGTTTTATAATTTATAAGACAAATAAAATCTAACTTAATAATTAAATTAAAAAAATCATGTAAAACGTTATTAAGAAAATTTATTTTACATATTTTAAAATAAAAAATATTTACATAAAAAAATATATATATATATTATATATAGGTCTATTAAAAAGAATATAATTTTTTTCAAAGATAATTTGGTTTATTAATTAAAAAATTAAAATCATTTTATAAAAATGTGAGATCAGATAAATTATAAATAGCATGCAAATTTCGATGGGTAAAACCAATTTAAT